AAAAAAAAAAAAAAAAATGAAAGTGTGATTGATTGTATGATAGAGATGTTATGATTAAAGTTGATATGATGTAAATGTAATAAAAAAATGAATGGTAAATAGAAATGTGTGAATGGATGAATATTTACTTATGAAATTGTGATTGATCATTATTTTAAAACATTAATAAAACTGAGGGGAAAGGTGTGTGTGGTACTTTCTTAAAAACAAATTTCTAATGAGATGAAAATGGTCTTTATTTGATAAGGATATCCTTGCTGCTTCAAAACGCTTTGAAAATGGTGATTTAGTTTTTTTTTTTTTTTTTAAATATCACTGAAGAAATGCTAAATTAAAATAATTCAGTGAAAACTGTAGGATCATGGCTTACCATGGTTCAAAAGATTATTTAAGTATATTAGATTGTGTATAGGAATTAGGTCGTGAGACATACCTCCCACGCTGAAGTCATTTCAAATTCAAAATCATCCCACCGGGAACGCGAGCAAGGTGTCTTAATAACAAAATCGTACCCAACTTGATCTCTGAAAGTAACATATAAATGAGTTGACCAACTTAAAAAATTGCAATAGGAAGCGAATCAGAATATTAAAACGATTTGCTGCTCACTTCTTTGATAAGGATATCCTTGCTCCTTCAAGACGCTTCCTGAAAAAATAACCATGACGAAATGAGATCCAAGTTAAAGAACTCCATGTCATAGCATTCAATTACAAGATTTTTCACTATAGAAAGCAAGATAAGGTTCATCAACAAACAACATTCAGAACAATTACCCCTCAATTATCATACTGTCGCACCAAGTGGATAACCAGAAGTCCTCACCCACGGCTTTGTAAAGATCTGAGCAGGATTCTGCATTCAGTATCTGCAGGTTGAATATCAAGGAATGGCATGCTTAATTAGAAAACATTATATTAAGAGAAATGATTATCAAACCAAACAGGGAAAGTTTGGCACTTAGTCTATTCGTAGAGGAGGTGTTGAGAAGACTGAAAAAGAATTAATAAACTTAGCATAATCACATTGCTTCAGCCAAAGGAAGGTTATTTTTCACACCAGGCATGGAATAGCTTATCCTTCAGATGGGATTAAAGAACTAATAAACTAGTAAAATGATTAATTTGTTGCAGTCAACTGAGAAGAAAACAACCCGGCAACTCCTAGGAAGTCTAAACACCAAACTTTACCAAGTAGCTGGTTTCAGAAGGATTAATAGAATTAAAATGAACGAAAAGGATAAGGAGTTTGTTTAACAATATAACTTACGTCTTGCAGTTTCCCGTTTTCACGGAGATTGATGATGTTGTCATTCTTGTCACGCACACACTTATAATCTGTCATTACTTCTTTGGCAGCATTTAATGTTCTGCAGATCAACAAACAATTGTACTTTTTGTTCACAGATTTTCATAACAAAAATTAGAAACATTTTATTCTTTTTCAAAACCAGAAATCTGATTCTAAGGCATCAATTTTTGTATAATAATGTAGAATTACCTCTGAAAATTTGGAAAACTGCGTACAATCTTAGCTTGACCACTAATAAGAGGAGTGAGCGAGCCAAACCCAGAAATATATTCCTCACTAGATAACAAAAGAGCTCACTGATCAGAAAAGCATCATGCATAATTACTCAAATGCATAAACACGTGCGACACAATTAGTTTCACTTGCAATATGCATATAATCCACCGGCTAACCCTTGGAAAAAAAATGAGACTAATTCAGTGCTTGACTAAACAATTTTATTGAGCACTCAAGAATCTCTTCATTTATTGATTATTGTATAAGGCTACAGATAATTAGCTTTAAACTAAATGAACTACTATGAAGTACCTCAACTTGTTAACCCAGATAACTGCATCACATGGTTCAGATATCTGTCTCCATTTAACTGCCACAGAATAAACACCATTCCAGGGCATCGTAGGGCGTCCATATGGTCTATCTTCAGCTGCACAATATGATACAGATGAATCTGGAAATCTGCTAGTGCTGCAACCAGCACCACCTCGGTTCTGACTAGGAGGGTTGAGCTTCTCTTTTCTCCTGGCTTTCTTTCCATGTTTCGACCCACCTTTACTTGAAAGCTTCCATTCAGTTTGTAGAGAACGCCAAACCCTTACAACCTTCTGGGCAATCTCTATAGCAGCAAGGCCCGCCATTCGAAACTAGTGCAGTTTAAAAAAAAAAAAAAAGAAAGAAACATCAGCAATCACTTGCATGGAGAGATCTCCAATATAGTAATAATCAATGGTACATAAAAGACAAAAACCACCAAGGGTTCATTTCAAGTGCAGAGTAAAGTTAATCTAACAGACAAATGAAAATACTCTTGCCCACTGAAAAAGGCTCCATGTCAACCAGTCAGTATCTGCCTCTCTTTGTCACAAGGAAACGCCGGCATCATAGTAGTAAATACACCATCGAGATGAATAGTATGTCAGAAAAAGATTGAATATGTCACACGTTGCAAGATTTGCCAATTTCACATGAAAAGTAATTTCCGCAACTGAAGTACAATTAATACTTCAAATCAGTAGTTAAAGAGAATGATAACCAAGTTAACCAAAGTTTGAACACAAGGAACTGATGAATCAGGAAGAACACTTCATTCGGTAAAACAGCAACCTTGGCAAGCAGGAAATTTAACAACTGTTAATGAAATTTTTTCTTACTTTTCTGTTTCAATCCTTGTTCATTGGTAATTCAAGAGTCAGGAAGATTTTTATATTTACAATGCCCTTAATAGACTCGCAACTTACCAAATTTATTTTAGAAAGTGAAAAGGGGAATAATAAAAAAAGATGACATACAACTGCATAAACAAATTATCATGCAGCATTTTATTCTATAGTACCGATATAACTTATGCACAGCTTAAAACATATAAAACAAGATAGCTTCAGACTTATTTCACAGCAGAATGAACCACATTTTTAACTTTTAGAAGTGAAAAGTATGCTCTCTTACACCATTTCCATTTTCCGACTCACCTGACGTCTGTTGGGCAGGAATCCCGGGCAACGGTACTGGATCTTCTGGCCAATTGAATCCGCAGCCTGTAACAAAGAAGCTTTTTGCTTTGTAAGAGAAAAGTCGAGCTTTTTCAGCTTTCCTTTCCTCAAAGAATCTCGCAGAGGGGGTTGCCTGTATACTTTCTCGCATACATTCTTTGGATGCAGCCCTTTACACCAATATTCCTGGGACACATAGGGTAGAGTATAAATAGAAAACAATATCGATGTTACATTATTTGTTTAACTGGTTTCCACTATTGAGGTGATCCTAGATCCAACTTCTGCAATTAGCATAACAGTAATCCACCCGAAACTCAAGCTTTAGCACCAAGACTTTGAAACAACTCTTTCCATCCACATTCACTCTTCTGTAAGATACAATTACTTTGAATCCTATAATTTCAAAGGCTCAAGATTGATAATCAAGTTATTTATCAAGGTTACTTTATGTACTGCACACAGCTGCAAATCCAGTAATTATGCTCTAGTATCTCTACAACATTGTGACCTTATAACCATCCACGTAGCAAAAATATGGTCACAAGAGATGACATATAAGTAAATACCACCTACACTACACAGTATATATGGCCTTTGCCACTTATCATATGGATATCAACATCAAGATAGATGCAAGGACACAAACTTATTTAATCAGAAACATATAGTTAGAGTGGAGACTGCATTTACATCAAAACCAACATAGCCTGTAGCTATCAACGAAGTGTGCGAATCCTGATAGTTCATGGAAATTTCGACACTTTCAGATGCAGGCAGTGTGCATCAGTAGAATACGTGTCAGTGACAAGCACTATCCAAAATATACTGGCCTTCTACAATTTTAGTGATTAATAATCATATGCCTTGAATATTTCAGATTATCATAGCCAGCAACCATGAATAATACAACTTTATGACAAACACACATTGAGAAACACAAAACATGAAAAGCAGCATCTAAACTGATAATTACATGATTTCACAATATATGGTTAGCAGACAAGTGAACAAATTAAAATTTGATAGTGAACATTAAGAATTTTAAATCTTAGCATGATATAAAACACTTTACATAAGCAATACGAAGTTAGAAAATATGCAGCACAAAGTCAGATGCATGTATTACCTTAAAGAGAGGATCTATATCACCATCAAGGTCAAACCAAGAAAATTCTGTGTTGAACTTTGAAGCTGTATATAATGCTATTTCTTTCTGCATTAACAGAATATACAAAAATAAGTAATGGAAATGACAGTTTCCTACTCCTTATAATCAACCATCGTAGTAATACAATCATTTAACAATGTAACAACATCACACCCTAGTTCCTATTTAAATAGTTAAATAGATAATGTTTCACTTCCATTCAATTCAAGAATCTGTCCACGATGTTGCTTTTGTATTTATATCTTCAAGAGACATACGTATTTCGCATGACTCGAATGATAGATTACTACTCTTTGACGGTGACCAATCGTACTTAAATATAATTAACTATCCTTGAATATAATTAACCACACTGCAAAGATACAAAACTCAGACAAGCAAGAGCAACAGCCTGGTTTAATTGGATTACGCAAATTTAGATTTTGTGCACACCCAACAAGAGAACCTCTTTCGTCTAATTATACTTATCGAACTCTCAAATCTAATCTACAAAGAACCTTCAATTCTAGTCACCGAAAAATTGGTTTGAGGTCTAAAATGAATTTGCAACAACTGCCTGAAAATGATTAAAATAAGTTCCGGTACCAGGTTAGATTTGATGCTGAATTCATAAGAGCACACAGCTTGGAAAAAGAAAAGGAAAAGGAAAAGGAACAGGAACGATCAGGGAAAAAACAAACAATGCTAAAATAAGATCATTGTACCTTAAAATTATGGATGCAGTCAAACAATTCTTTAAGTCTAGATTTATTGGAAGGCATGGTCAACCCAAACAAATTAGTGTTAGGGTAAAGTGAAACAGCCCATTTAGCCATACTAAGTAATAAATGACCTGATAGAAGGCCAAGCACTGTAGGGAAAATTTTTCCATTGAATCCAATTCAAGATCCAATGCTGCATCATAATCTTTAACCTGCAAAGTTTACAGAGTCCATGTGAGACACACCTCAAACCAAAACTCTCATTTTAGAAAAAAGCAAACAATTATGTGGCTTGTCTTCCTTCATAGTTTTCTCTCTTTTTCTTTTTCTTTTTTCGGGGTGGGGGGTGGGAGTTTGAAAGAGGGAGGTAAATTAGAAAAAAGGTCCATACCGCTTCTTTAAATTCTCCTATAGCATGATAGCAAGAAGCTCTTAAATACAAACTTTCAATATCCGAGCTATCAATACTTAATCCCACTGATAATTCCTTGATGGCATTCCTGTAACCATAAATTAAATACAGAATGAAGTAGCACTTCGAAATGCAAGAAATAGAATCAAATTTTCAGACATTTATCTCGATCACAATGTCATGAAAAGACAACGTTGTAGATGAAAGATGGGGCATTTCACAAACTTCAAAGTAGGGCACATACTCCAAGAATTTTTCAACAAATAATTGAAATAACGTAAACAAATTTAATAATAAGTTACAGTTTACAAAAATAGCACAAGAAAAATCGAAAGTCAGCGGCATATAATAAAAAATTAATTATTAATATTTACAGCTCTTGAAGACTATACCATACAGAAATTTCTTTTGTAAACGATATTATTTAACAAAAATTACAACACAAAAGGATTCTTGTCATAATACTTGGGATATGTTCACATTCTAAGTCAGAGAAATAACATTTTATTCATACGTGCTTAGCCAAATGGTGTAAGACCCACAGAGAAGCATACTCTAAAAGGACCAGCATACGCTGAGTCCATGAGAGGTCTCCTAAAGGTGTCTTTTCAAAATTCATACACTATACAACAGTAAAACCAAACACACAGAATAATGTATCAGCGGAAGCACCACATATATAAGGGGTAAAATGATCATAATTGAGAAAAGATTCTTTACATAGTGCAAACCACTAAAAAAAAAAATCAAAGGTTAAATGAACATTGACCATCATTCGGGTAATGATATGGTAGTTATTATACACACTGTTAACAAAGAAAACTAAATAAAAATCAAACACAAAAGAATATGCAGGAGGGAACACACTTGGTCATAACCATCATTCGAGTAATGATATGGTAGTTATTATACACACTGTTAACAAAGAAAACTAAATAAAAATCAAACACAAAAGAATATGCAGGAGGGAACACACTTGGTCATAAGACAGAAACTTTCTCATTTCAAACATATTGAAATCTAGCATTCCAAAACGCGATTCGTATGGAAGGGATTTAAAAAGACATGAAAAGAAGATATTGATTTGCAAACTGCTTGAAAGATTCAACTTCAAGCAACAGAACAAATAACGGATATTGAAACCTTATATATTATTATGCTCCATATTTGACAAAGTAATCCACAAAAAAGCTGGTAATTGTATCTTCATATTTGCTACTACCAGTATCATAATAACACTTACCTATGATCACCCATCTCATGGAGAAGACGCCCATGGAGTTGATATGCTTTGGTAAACCTAAAAGGTCAAGAAGACCATAAGTAAGATCTCCTTATAAACGTTCGACTAAAATGGTTCTAACACCTGTGAGACCTTTTGAGATAGGCAAGTCCAAATTAAACATCTAGTGATAATACCAAACACAAAAACAACACACCATTTCCCCTTGTCAACGTGACATAAGATAACTCAAACCTGTCTGTGACAAACTATATAAGTACAAACAGATATGTCTCAAATGATAACTCACATAAAGCCTAGAAAAGGGCATGACTCAGTTGGATAAGCATTTCCCCAGGAAATGGAAATAAGTAATTAGATAGCAGTTTTGGTTCTATTAAGCATAATCATATGCTAAACAATTTGATAAAAAATTACGCCAACTGAATATTCTTCTGTGGTCCCCATAAACATTAGGAGGTCATATGAACCCTTGTTGAAGCTTAAAATGCACTTAAACATATAGATGCTCCGACTAGATTGTTTATATTGACAGGGAAATTTAGGTAAACCTCTGGAGACTGTAAAGCATAACAAGCTCTTGGGTCAATTGAGCAGCCAAGGCCATATGAAGCAACATATGGAACCAAACTTCATTTATAAGGAGAAATTCACTTATGAAATCCAAAAGGTATGCATGGACTAAATAGTCATAACTATGTGCATCTAAGTAAGGAACAATTTTATATGAATGGTTCAGCACAAAATATACCCAGAGAACCAGCATATAAATACAATATGTACTATATAGACTTCTTGAGGTAACTCAACTGCACAAGACCGATAAGGTAAAAAAAAAAAAAAAAAAAAAAAAAAAAAAAAAAAAAAAAAAAAAGAAAGAACATAAGAGTATTTGATCACGAGGACATGTTAAACATGTAATTAGAGACAAAAAATAATCTGGAAACTGTAAGCCCAAGAATCTTTTACGGTTTTATCGAATAAAATTTACTCTAATCTCACCCACTTGTAGTTTTGTAGATCATTCTCTAATCAGAAGAATCAATTAATTTCTCAAAAAGGGATAACAAGGGTAAGGTCTGCGTACAACTGACCCCAGACCCCAACCAGTTGGGAATATACTGGGTATGTTGTTGCTGTTGTGGATAACAACACAGAAGTACGAGAGAAGACAAGATCGTATCCATACAGCATACCTTCCACCAATTTTATGAATATCATTAATGCATTGCACGGCCTTCTCCCAATTTGCAGTGTCCTGATAGACCTGTTAAAAGATCAAAATTATATCTAAAACTCGTTCAACTAACTTACAAGTAGAATGATGCACATGCTTGTAACATATATGGAAAAGTACATCCTTATCATCAAACCACTGAAAATGTACTTTAGTGTTTAAGGTCTCTGTTATGGTGGATAAAAAAAGAGCAATATAAAGCAACTTTCATTGCCATCAATTTTCCTAGATCTAGATGCCTTCTAAACTGCAGAAAAACTTCACCTAACCAACATAATCACTTTTACATATAAACAATAAACACGCAAGCAGTTCTGATCTAATAATTTGAAGTATAACCATGAACAACTCAGGTTGATTTGAAAAATAAATCACCAGAAAGTCCGTAAAATACATATATATATATATATATATATATATATATATATATACACGCATTCGACCTCTAGGGATTCAACTCCTCAGAATACAAATACTGAATTAAACAAAATGTAAATACCAACAACAATGCACTCTTCTAGTTACATATGCCAACTTAATAGAACACGGGAAAAAAATCAAATCTTTGCTTGAAAGAACAATATGCAATACATTTGGACAAATCTGGACAGTCAGATCCTGAAAAGGTGGTCATGCGAAACGACATGATGATAGTTTCACCAACACTAATGTCAAACTCCAAGGCAAAGTTCTAAAACTGCATTCTATTTCTTTCCTGGAGCCACTAATGAAAAACACCGGAATTTTTGGGTAGGCATGCTGGTAAGTTGAAAGAAGCTAAGCAGTTAAAAATTAAAATAGAGAGAAGAAGATACTTGAACCAGTAGAATTGAGAAACTGAAGCCTTAAATGTTCTATATTGTAATCTCAAGTCAAGTATAGTTTTCATTACTCTTTTTACGAGGTGTGATATTATAAATATAGAATGTATGTGTGCTACACATAATATGTATATATATAGAACGTTAGGTTCCAACGGGAACCAATTCAGGTGAAGGAACTAAGAAACCATGCTGAACTATGTTATATGTGATGCTATTATCAGCTAAGCACAGTGCTAATAAAGGGTGAAGTGATAATAGTAGCGCTACAATGTTATTCTCCATCACTATGCTAGATTGGCATCATACATGGCTAATAACAGCATCACATATAATGTATCATAGCATAGTGCTTAGTTCCCACAACAGGTTTTTCTCAATCGATCATTTCCAGTATATGTGTATATATACAGATATTGATATAATCTTCTCATCTCATTCTTCTATCTTACAGTTTCAGTAACCTGATCATGTGAAATGCCAACCTCACAAATTACCTTGGTCCAACCAATAGACACAGAAAGGACAAGAAAGATTGTACAAACATCCCATTTTCTTTTTAATGCAAGAGAGATTTAGAGTTTTTTTTTTTTCTTTTTGGTAGGTTATTCTCCTTTTTATTTAGCTTTACAACTGATATAGTGGCAACAGCTTTTTCTTAGCATAATTGAATGTGAAGAAAGATCAGACATATCATCTAGGTCCAACCATTAGACACAAAGAGGACAAAAAACATTGTATCATTTTGCTACTTCCTTTAATGCACGGGATTGCAGTTTTCTTCTCATTATCTTTTTTATATAGTTTTACAACCGAATGGAACCGTCCTGATATAGAGGCAACAGCATTTTCTTTTAGCAAAATAAAATGTGAAGAAAGGTGATACATCTAACTCTATGTCAACAGATACCCGAGTAAGATTAGTCCAAGCCTCAAGGAAAGTTTGATCTATATGGATTGCTCTCATATGTGCCTCCTCTGATCTTCTATATTCACCAAGTGAAAATAAAGCCAAACCCTGAGGAAGAAAAAGATTATGGAAATCAAACTACTGGGTTCTATGCATATAAGCATAAGCGCATCATCTAAGAAAAGCTTCGCTGTTAAAGACTCACCAAGTATGTGTAGGCAGATTTGTTATCCAGTTCAACTTCTACACATGCAGATAGGTCTTTGACAGCAGATTTGTAATCCTTAAACTTAAAGTTTACTATTCCTGCAAAGATTTTCACTAGCAAGATCATATATATAATATAGAGCATTAACAGCAGTAATGAGTAAGGAAACAAAGGAATAAATGAAGGAACCAAGACTTTAGTGACCACAACAATTAACAAATTCATGCCACATCAAAGTTCAATAAACTGTTATAGCATGAGGATAGGTACCGGAAGCCACAACTATACCTATGCTACCTACTAAGCTTGTACAGCAAATATGAGGAACAATTATCATTTTGACTTCATTACTGATACTCCTTTAATAAATTACATTGGCAGTTAATTACCAGTATTTAGTAATTAATTAACTCGGTAGGTCTTTGGCAACAAATGTAAAGCAATTTGGCGTCTGGGTATTTTATTAGGATTATGAATGAAAATGAGGTATACTATTTTCTCTCTCTCTCTCTCTCTCTCTCTCTCTCTCTCTCTGTTTCTAGGCTCTCCCCATTCTTCTTCTTGGAGCTCGCACATGCTCGAAAGGTCCTCTATGCAGGTACGGTCCATCCAGGTCGTATCAAATACCACAGCGCCATAATCTACTATTTACATTTGGTGCCATACTATTCTTCAGATATTCAACAGAAAACACCATAGGACATGCTCCTCAATAGAATTTTAAGATCAAATGATGATATTTAGGGGTGTTAAATAGGCTTCGGTAGTACTCATCCCCAAACATAGCTCGATGAGAGGGGGTGCTCAACCCACACTCATACACAATAACAGCTGGGAAACTAATTGATGAGGGGCAAACATCAGCTTCTAACAATCCAAAGCGCCAATGGGCCAGGTCCAAACCTAACCTCATGTCCAAACAAACAAACTTGGGTGCTCTAGTACCATGTTAAATGGGCTTGGATAGAACTCATCCCAAAAGGCTAGCTCAAAAGAAGAGGGTTCCCAACCCACACTTACAATAATAGCCTCGTAAATAATTGATAGGGGACAAACATAACTTTATATCCCTTTTTCGAATATATCTGCTCTCTGTGTGTACCATAAGGGGTTTTCAGCTGATAAGTACTAGGTTTTAGTAGTTCCTCCTACATATACTGTCACTAGTCCCCACTCCAATCGCTTAACATTGGCTTGGCCTCAGTTATTTTGTGGCGTAAATATTGAGATAGATTGAGGAGGTCACACCAGTTTACGGTGACTTATAGTACTGATTCTCCACCCTTACTGTCAGAGGATCGCATTTTAAATGTTCTCCCAGCATTTCTTCTCCTAATGAAGACAAAATGTCTATAAATGAAGGTAATCATATCCTGAAGATACATTCACTATCAATTACCTGTTTGTGGCAATGATAACCTAAATATATAATGTGCATATTTTAAGCAAGAGCGACATCAAAATTATACTCATCAACTTCCAGATACTCTCTACTAAAACTGTGGCCGTGAGTAGGACTTATGGAGAAAGTTTACAGCACGCCCAACAAAAGAAAATAACTATAGCAGAGTGATTTTACGAGTTATTTTAGTATGCTATATATACAGGTAAGACCAAAATGCACTTAGTGAGCAGTGTCAATATTTACGGTGCAGGTGAAGACTTCAAAAACATGCTTCCAATGCTCTTCACCAATTTTAACCTTCAGAATGTCAGACTCCCAATTCAACAGCACATGTAGTGTAACATATTCTCTGGTTGGCTATATTACTCTTTAAAATGTAGTTTTTCTTGCTCATAAGTGGTCAAGACGTTCAAATTTGAATCAAAAAAAGATTATAATAGTTAAATTATGGTAACACTGCCTAATTAGTTCGAGGAATCAAAGAAATAGACAAGAGGCAGACAGCTTTTACTTGCTGCCTAATTTGTAACAAATTAGAATCTCTAGTATCTGGTTCTGTATAGTTATCCATAACTCTTTAACAGGAACAAAATCAACATGTATCTGTAAGCATATTATAAAACAATTTAAACTAAATTTTATATTCTCAGGGCTGGGAGCCAGGGAAGCACAGTGAATTGCAGTAAATTATAAACTAACATGACTGGAATTACTGATTCATATTTCCATGTTCAAGCATAATATCTTCCACTCCTGCTATTATAATTTCATCTTTTACGCAGTCAAATGTACCGTGCAAATCAAAGTGAGAATATATGTGTGGAAGCCAGAATTTAATTTAACAGTCGCTTGTAACAGAGTGATATTAAGAAAACAGTCCCAAGGATATAATGATGAAGACTAGCGAAAATATTAATTTAAAAATTGAAATAAAACAACTACCCCTTTCATGCAATACGTCAGCTGAATATGATTCGAACTCCAATGCTTTGGTCAAGTCTGAAATTGCCTGAAAACAGAAGATATTTAGTCATGACAGCCAACTGGTTGGCATGATTCATCAGAATGAGCATGCGAAAGAACAAAAAGAAAAACAAATCATATTGACTGTGAAAATAACATAAAATTACATATGTAGTAACTAATGTGTCAACCGGAGCTTAACCCGTGCCCTATCAATAAACAGTTCTCACTGTTCCTTCACCACTGAGGCACAGAGCCACAGACACAAACACAAATAGATAAATATTAAATAATCAAAAAAAAAAAAATGATATTCACCAAAAAGTCCACATCCTTAAAATTTTTGTTCTCCTCACTAGTGACTCTAACTATTGCATCCAAAACATAGCAACCCTATGCAACAACTCAATCTATGACAAACCATTTGACCCCCACCTCCATTAACCAACATAAAAGACTTTAAACATGACAACTGAAAACATAACTTTTTTATCTTTCAAATACAAGCAAAAAATTGTACGTCCGGTAAATGGCAGATAAAATTGCCTTTTCATATCATAATGAGTCAACGAAGATCTTTTAGAGTAACTACGAGGCAGCATATGTAATTACAATTAATAGGAATGTGGCATGCTAAAGTGAAAATAAACAGTACCACTATTCCACAATTTCTGTTATATAGTCAATATTACAAAGAAAGCAGGTACCGCATCAATTATTTCCACACCATTTGTCGAACACAAAATCAATCACGACACCTTGACGATTCTGAAACTAATGCAGAGAGCTTAACTTTTAGGGGACTCTCAAAATTGTTAATTGTTGATTGGAAAATGGCAGGACAATCTGCAGTATCATGGTCTGATCTCAGATTTCAAAATAAGGCTTTTATTCAGAAAAAAAAAACATTTGTGTTGCTTCTGCCCTTCAGTTTGGCAGTTACTCATGATATAAAAAAGACTTAAGTCTTAAGTGAAGGTAACCACCGGATATGCACTTACTTGATCTTGAAGTTTTAGTGTGGATACATAAAAATTTCTCAGCAATGGGAAAACAATTAGCTTATGGATGAAATGAATGTAACAACTTCTAGCACTTTGTTTCACTAACAAATAAACTAAACTGAAATACTACTGGAAACATAACATATTCTTAGAGAAAAGCATTATCAATGATTTTAAATAACCTTAGCATATTCTCCCAAGGCTGCTCGAGCTTGGCCCCTGCGTTTCCAGGCCTCACCTGCTGATGGATTTGATTGTATCGCCTATTTAAATAACCACATCTCATTTCATTCATCCAGGATTCCACATTCCTAAGTACAAAAAAGACTCAAACAAACATTACCTTTGAAAAATCATCAATAGCCGAATGCAGTTCTCGTTGAAATGCATATGCTGTTCCTCTTCCAATTAAGGCCTCCGGGTAATCTGGCTCTTCTTCTAGAATCTGATATATAAAGTAATAAGATGGAGTTATGTCGGAAAAATCATGGAAACTATCCATTCCCTCAGCCATGCTGCATCGTGGAATATTAGTTTAAGATAAACATTAAATAAGATAAAGTTAGAAGTAAATAATATCAACCTTGTCAAAAATGGATATAGCATGGGCATATTTTCCATCATTAACCTGCCAAGAAAGAGAACACCATCTCAGGAAGAATGTTTCAATCACCATGATTGAAGCGGTGACTCAAAACTGAAGAAAGAATCACTTTAATCCAAAGCATCGAAACCAATAATGTGTCACTTTGAACTCTTTCGCTACGCTAAAATTACTCTCGGAGTGCCACATAACAAAAAGCCATTGGCATTAGACTACAGAGTAAAAGATAAATACAGTAGAGAAATTTGCAAATTCAGGCCCTTCAATCCTGTGCATACTGCATAGTGGAAATGGCGAAGCACAATTTTCTTGACTTAATAATCATAATACTTTTATGACTCCTGAGTACCACATAGAATGAACGTAACCAAGATAGATGAAGTCATGAAAGCTTGAAAAAAAAAAGCTATAACACATAGGTCATATAGTGGACTTTGCATGTATCTTATGGGGATCACACCCTCAAACATAATAAGAGACCAGGGTACATTGTTTTTCTAATTCTAATACATGACATGCAACTGTTTCCTTCTTATACAAATAAGGAGATTCTGTTAGGCAGTGATTCTGCTAACTGCTATACTTCACAGGAGATTCTATCTATTAAATATATGAAATAAGGTATCCATGAAACTTAACACACAAAGAAGTGACATATCATAAATGGGAAAGAGAACAGGATTAACAATTACAGGAGCAAAAAGAAGGGCAAATGGGAAAAACAGGTGGCATAAAAAAAAAAAAAAAAAAAAAAAAAAAAAAAAAAAAAAAAAAAAAAANNAAAAAAAAACTAAAAACTACGATTTTCAGAACCAAAGATGAACTTTAAATTCTTAGCCATCTAAGAACATATGGCAGCACAACGCGTATCATGTTATCATGACACAAATAAAGCATAGGAAACTAACCTGGGCAATTCCCCTTGATAATCTCAAATCCACATTAATTGACTTTTTCTTTGATATCCTAGCAACACAGAAACTTTTACTCCTACTGCCCTCATCCATTAATTCGTTGTGGATTTCTGACAAGCTAAACAATTCATTACACATATCAGAAGAATCTCTAGTTTCACCATAATGCACAGATGAATCAATGCTTGATTCAGATGAATCATTCACCATGGACTTTCCGTCCAGCTTATTGTGTATCCCGTTAGTTTCAGTTGAGCGACTCTCAAGGTTTTTGCTAGATTGGCTACTCAAACTATTTTCTCCATTAAAAAGAAGACTTGACTCATTTTGCTTGTCGTAGCCCAGCTTGATTGATTTGCTTCTTGGTTTACTTTTTTCATTTGATTCGTCAAGGTTGTCGGATATTTTACTTGATTTTGTGGAAACTGCAGTTCCAGATGCAGGGAAGGACAATTGAGATGCTCCCATCACATGATTCCGGCAAGCAGGACCATTTTGTTTAGAAACTCTCAAAAGGTCTTCCAGCTCCAAAAGAAGTTTTAGATCGACAGACTGACAGGCTGCATGCTCGTATCCCTGATCCCAAACTGAAAGAGCTTCCTCTTTCCTTCCCAGAGAAGATAATGCATGACCTAAAAGTAAACATTTCAAACCAATTCAGCAGCATGCAAAGTCAATAGACAAGGAGGGACTTTTTTGAAACAATAAAAAGGATATCAGCAATATGAGATTTTAAGTGATGTCTCTAGTTAAGAATCACATGAGAATTACAGTTACAGCAACCACATTCCAAGAATCGTCCTAGGTGATACTCAGTCTATTCGTGTCTGATTGGTTGCTAGAATTCCACATTTGATGAATGCACGAAGGTTCTATTTACTACACCTGCTACCACAACAATCAGCTTCCCCAATTCATAAGCTCAGCTTCCTAACAATTAAAGATAACCCATAAAAAAGGAAGCACAGAAAGTCTGATATGATCACACACCTTTAAGAATATAAGCTTGGAGCAGCTTAGGATCGAGCTGCAAGGCCTTGTCGCAATCTTTAATGACATGCTTGTGCAACTCCAATTGGCTATAGCAGAAAGCTCGATTGCTTATAAGGGAAAAAGGAAAAATCACAACACACACACACACACACACAAAAAAACCAAAACAAATTCAGTGGATCAATCACGAATCTCAATATCATAAATCGTGCATCAACAAACCAAATCCAAAAAATAAAAAAATCAACTAACCAGAGGTCCTGAATGTCACAGGATTGGGAAAGGAGCGAGTCGAGAAGTCGAATAGCCTTCGACCAATCTTTGGAGCAGCACAGTTTTGCCAGCTCAATCCGCTCGGCCGCCGCGGATGCCATTGGCAAACAGAAATCGCGGCGAGGCAGTAGAATGAGAACGATTGGAGGCGCGCGGCGTGAAATAGTGGTGCAAGTTGTTTTTGCTTGAAGTTTGGGCGAGAGACTCGTGAAAATTGGGAAATTTGGAGGAAGAAAAAATTATGTTCAGTAAAAGTCGTTCAATATTGTTCACTCAAAACGAAAACACGTGAAAATGATAAAGAATATGAAGTAAAAGTTTATAAGTATTTTTTAACCGAGCCAAACCACATGTTGCTATTAGTAAGGGGCTCCAATGTCACTTAATTTATTCGACATACGACACGACACATTACATTATTAACTCCGCGTGGCCAACTTAAATCAACATGCGTCTCAAACGTCGCGGTTTACTTAAATGGACATGTGCCTCCGCAAATGTTAAATATATCAAGAAATATATATATATATATATATATTAGTTAAACGGGAGTTTGTTAAAAAATTATTCTTGATGAGATGGCTTGGATCTCTTCCAGTTTAATAAGTAGTCTCGAGTTTGAGCCCTGAGAATGCAGCAGTGTTAAAACTCTTGAGGGAGAGTTTTGCCGCCCTTGTGGTCCTACCCGGCTCGATTCCAGATTAGTCGGTTCCCCCGTGGATCCAGAAACCGGAAAGTCCCTGTACCAATAAAAAAATTATTCTTGAATTTTGAAATTATTGAGAAAAATTATTTTAAATTTTATTTATTTTTTTAATAAAAAGTATAATTATTATATATTATAGAATCACACTTGTTACTTGTGCGACTTATATGTGTTATAGTATAGTAATTTTAATAACTTATAGGAGTTTTATCAATACAAGACCCGAAAGATGAGTAAACTATCAATATGGGGTCTGAAAGATTTTTTTCTCAATTCGAGACTTAAATGTTATAAAACTATCAAATTAAAGACTCGAAAGATGGTTAAACTATCAATGCGGGGCCTGAAAGATTTTTTTTCCTCAATTCGGGACTTAAATGTTATAAAACTATCAAATTAAGTCTAGAATTAACAAAACTCATAACACATTAAATTTAGAGTTTAAAAAAAAAAAATAAAAGATTGGTGTTTAAATTTAGAATTTTAAAAAAAATATATATGATATTTAATTATTACATTTTATTTTCATATTCATTCACATTCTTAAACTATCAATGCATATGAATGAAATTTCAATAAGCATAATAGTCACTTTAAATATAAAAATCATATAGTAGGGTTGAAGAGCAGTCACGCCGCACATCATCATCACCGCGACAGTGCGCCTTGAGGTCCGACGTGATGATGCATCCTCTCCTTCTTCGGATTCGCCACGCACCGTCGGCGGGTATCTTCGACTCCAAATATTCGAGATCCTTTCCCTCTCCGACTTCTTCCACCCGCCGCCGGCCGCCTTGAGACTCGAAATATAACTCTTCGAGGCGCAGGGCGTGTAGTCGAAAAGGTGTAATAAATTCTCCAATTACTAATTTACGGTTTCATTAATTTTGATTTTTTTTTAAATCTTGCTTAATTTTCCTTTGATTTTTGAAACAACTGACTTTGAATTTTTCCCATGAGATTGGAAATGGGCATATGTAGTTCGATGACATTCGAGGCATTTCTCTGATCATTATATGATAAATCTTTGTGGTGATGTGATTTATGTTGATTTGAATTCATGGTTATCTTATAAATAAAATTAGTTTTGTAGTGTAAAAAAATAATATATAAAAATCATATTAATTATTTACTTAATATAAATACTTGCTTTATACCTTTTTAACAACAAACACATATATTTATGAAGACAATCCTCTTTATATATTATTCCCGAGTGCACTGAGCCTACGTGGCTATTTTTTGTGCTTCGAAATCCTACTTGACGAAGAATCATGCTCCGTAATGAGGTTTGGACAAATAATATTGATATATTAATAATTAATAATCTAGGTTCGGACATTCTATAAATATTATTTAACTAACTTAGGTATTTTAATATCACTTTTACTAATATAACCCTTTAATTCTGTGTAATTTTACATAGTGAGACACTAAGTGACTAATATATCTCTGACTTTTGATTTGTTTCCTTCAATTAGCAAAAGAATTGTAAATGTATTTTAAAAGTTGATAACTTTTGTATTTTTTGTCGGTTTTACATATATAATATATCAGATTAATCATCTTTTGATGATCTTCGATTTGACCCTATATTGTATATATTAAATAAATAAATCATATTTATCTTTATAATAATAAAAAATAATAATATTTATTAAAATTCATTAGAAAAATAAAATTATTTCTCAATTGATATATTTATGTTTAATGTAGTTATATGTTGTAAGTCAAAAAAATATTGTAATATAACACAAGTAAGTCGAACAAATAAAAAAGTGTCATACTAAATATATAATAATATATATATATATATATTTATATAAAAGGTATTAAAATTTTCAATTATTTTTTCTCATTAATTTTAGATTTTAAGAAAAAATTAGCAAGCACCCGTGTAATACACGGGTGTTGTACTAGTAATATTATAAACACTCAAGAGTACGATTGGTTATAAATTATGTAAAAATGTTTGAATAAAAAAGTGAGTTAAAAGAGTAGAAAAATTGATGGAAGAATGCAGAAATATTTTTAAAAATGTGAATGAATATGAAAATAAAATGTAATAACTAAATATTATATTTATTTTTTTAAAACTCTAAATTTAAACCCCAATTTTTTTAAACTCTAAATTTAATAGTGTTATGAGTTTTGTTAATTCTAAACTTAATTTGATAGTTTTATAACATTTAAGTCTCGAATTGAGAAAAAAAAATTTCAGGCCCCGCATTGATAGTTTACCATCTTTCGGGTCTTTAATTTGATAGTTTTATAACATTTAAGTCCCGAATTGAGAACAAAAAAAATTCAGGGCCCGCATTGATAGTTTTTCCATCTTTCGGGCCTTGTATTGATAAAACTCATAACTTATATCATATAACTACTTGAAATATGAGTATATTAATTAATAAATAATTTTATTTTAATATTAAAAATAATTTTATTATTGTTGTAGAGATAAATATAATTTTTTTTATACATACAATATGGATGTCACATCGAAGCTCATCAAGAGATGATTAATTTGATATATTACATATGTGAAACTGATAAAAAATATAAAAGTTATTAACTTTTAAAATACATTTACAATTCAATAGTTATAATTATAAATGATGTTAAAGTGCAATTAATACATGTAATATGACCATAAATAATTAACATATTTATGGTTACAAAAATGTTCCTTCTCCCGTCCATTTCCGCCGCATCAAGTACTCCTTGACGTGTCTTTTGACATGTCATTCTAATTTTCTTGACTTTAATTAAAGTTTTTTTCTAATCTCTCTCTCATCTTTTCCTAATCTCTCTCTCTCATCTTCTTTTGTTCTTCTAACGTGTTTTTCTCCAGTTTTTTCATCTGCTTGTTATTCTCGTTCTTCTGTGTTCGTAGTCCCCATTCTTCCCGGATTATTTTGTCGACAGGACTCTTGATTTCCCAACATCAGGTATCATGTTTTCCCCCAAATTTTCTTGCCCTAGGAATATATGTCTTCTCCGGAATTTCCCCAACTTTTCTTCCGCATTCTCCCGTTCTCTGTCCATTATATCCGTTTTTCCCCGGATTTTTTTGTCGACCGCACTCCCTTATAATTTTCCAGCCTCAGTTTGTTTCCAATTTTGTATCCCACTGCCACCTCCACCGTCTCTGCGACATATTTTCCAACGAATCAATGTCTCTTTAGAGGTCTTGGTCTTATCTCGAGTTTCTACCGCTCCCACAAGTGGTGATCTGAGCATCGTGTGGCGACCTTATGTTCGTTTCTAAGTGGTGGTCCGAGCATCGTAAGCTTTCATCGTAATGTTTAACATCTCATAAAAATTTAGATACTCTTAGTTCTTATACAAATACTTAATTCCTTGGGTTTATCTTTTCTATTATACAAATTGTAACATCAAGACATGTTGTAAGTTTTTTTTTTTTTTTTTTTTTTTTTTTTTTTTTTTTTTTCTATTTTGATCATTTTCATAAAAGGTCATTCGGGTAGAGCTGGGAGGAGTGATATGGTGTTTGACCCGAACCCGCTCTCCCTGAGCGTGCCCGAACCCCCTTGCAAGTTGTGGCTCCGCGGCACCGGCTACCTCAAGGTCCTTGACTAGTGCACAACCGACCTCTACCGTTTCTTCACCGCGGGGACCACCAATTCCGTCGGCGATTGGATGCGATGGGTACTCCTCGTCTTGCAGCTCCTCTCTCGCATATGGACCCTCCTGTCACTCCTCACCTTCACCCCTTTCTCGAAGCTCGCTACCGGCGACTTTACCGGCACCACGCCGAGCTAGCCCGCAACGTTCTTTGGCTCGTTCGTACTCGTTCCCGTCTTCGCCGTTGCAGGCTCGACTACTCGCGTCCGAAAACTACGTTGTCCTCTCCGCCTTTTTTTTGGCATGTGCTCTATATCAGTTGTCACTAGCTCTTGTTGGTCTAGTCTTGTGCTTTGCATTGTGGGACGCGTTTAAACTTAGTAATTGATAGGGTTTTGATAGGTATCTTGTAATAAGACAATCATTGGTCTGTTTAGCACAACGCACAACTACAATAGTTTTATTCATCTCCAATGTCCATTGACTATGAGTTTTGCTTGATTTTGAGATCGAATTGTGAAGTGGTTATGTGGAAATAATAATTGAATAACTCACCAGTTACTTCATGTTGACGATTAAATTTTAGACATTGCATGAGTTATATATTTTCTGTAAATTCAGTTGTCTATCATCTAAAACTAGGGACCAACTTATTATTTATGTTCATGTTATAATTTTGCCTTAAAAAAAATAAAAATAGCCACTATAGGGTTGTTTTCACAAGCAAACAAGATAGCAATAGCTGAAACATCATGGGATTTAAACCAGTACTATAGGCTACTGCTTGCTGAAGCAAACATAAGAAATATTCAAGAAGCATTCTAAACATCCCAAAATCAACCAAAATTATTCATTAGCTTGATAATCCCAAAAAGTGAAAAACATTAAGTATAAATCTCGAAATCCTCAAAAGATAGATATTCTCCTTAATAGAGAAACAAATGTAATATTCTCAAGTCAGGTGGAAACAAAATAAAGGAAAAACTTGTTATAACTCTTACAAAAAAAAAAAGTGAACTACACTAATAGATCATGTAGTGGGGTATTGATCTTCATTTAAATCAAAGCATCGATTTTCCTGCAAAAGTAACAAAAAAAGTGGAATTAAGAAGCCAAGTAAATAAATAAAACCGAGTTATACAAATATTTTGATAACAATTTGATTAGATTAAATATGTAAAATATATAGTTACATGTGTCAAATCTTCTGTCTGTATGCTATTATTCCTCATGTCATAACTTCTACTCCATAGTGGATTAAAAAGACCATATACAACATTAAGACATTAACCGTGCAAAATTGTTAATTTGAAGTTTTTTTAGTAATGTAAGCAGTAAATATAATAATAGAACACACACTTTCTTGAATTTGAATCGAACTACTCTCGGGATAAATGGATGAAGCATGCGGCCTTGGCATGTAATACGCTCCAAAAGCTGGGATTGGATTACCCTATTCAATATACATGAACAAATGAATATATCATGCTTCAAATTGTTGTCAGATTAAAAATAAACAAACCAGTTTTTCATGGATTTTTTTTTTCTTTTTTCTTTTTTCTTTTGAAGGAGAAACAAGTATATCAACTTCTTTGATACCACATAAAGCAATTTGACCAAACATTTCTTGTTAGTACTTTAAATATCAACATTACAAGCCCAACAACAACCAAAAAATAAAAAATAAAATAAAAATAAATACAGAAGGATAAATTCTAAAAGATCTAAACATGCCATACAAGCAACGCACCAAATGCCACAAAGATTCGAAACTGGGTGTTGTCTAAAAATTTTCCATGCAAGTTAAGTTTCATGAACTTTGTATGGCCTCTTAAAAATCATCAACACCCATGAAAACAAATTAATGGAAGTTTACTTTTTCTTGTAGTTTAGTTGAACTATTTATGGGGTAAATACATGAATTTGGTGGCCTTGGCATATAATATTCTCCAAAAGTTGAACTTGACTAACTTATTACTGATACGCAAAAACATAGAAATATCATGTTTCAAATTATAATAGATTTAAAATAAATAATATTTGTAATTAAATGTATTATACCACAAGATTATTGGATGTAGCATTAAAAAGATTTGGACCAAGCATGCTATTGGCTACCAATTTTTATGTAGATGCCTATCAAAAAATATGTTAAAAATGTTAATTTATATGCATTACTAAAACAAAAATATAATAATATTTTCCACTTATACCTTTGTGGATTTTAATCTATTTGCTTCGGTCTCCTTAAGCTTTTTGTTTTGATTCTTTTTTTTTTTCAGCTTCTGAACCACAACTTCCAATCTTGAAATTTTCCTTTTTGTTGCAGGACGCCTTTTCCCTCGAGTGACTAGAGGACTCAATACTTTATTTGTCCTACTTACCACTTTTTGTTGCTCAACAAAATCTTGTGGCTGTGAAGAAAATGTTGGAACAATTTTCTTTTCGTCATTGGTGATTTTTAACTTTAATTCTCGTATGCATTTCATCACCAACTCAAAGTTTTCTTCATCATCCGCAGCAATAACGGCAACCTCATGGAGTGCCTTGAACATTTTTTTCACATCGTTGTATTTGCTGACTCAAAGGATTGTATCCGATTCTGACTAAAGTATATCTTCGTTTTAGGTCCTTTCTCCATCGTGGCAAAATATAGCGAGGATGAACTTCATTATTTTTCTTGCAATTAGCACCGATATGGTATGTCTACAAAGAATTCCTCTGAACTCGAACAAGCGGCAAACACAATTAACTTCATGAGTAGATTCATCAAAATGGACAGTAAAAGTAACATCTTTTATGATGTCGCCAACTTCTACATTTTCTTCAACTTTATACTCGTGTACGGAATTTTTAGTCTTAACTAAAGAAGGTTGACAATAAAATTTGTCCCTCAACTCATCTTGAAATTCTCTAAACTTCACATAAGTATAAGCACTTTGAAATTGCTTTTCAATATCATAATTGCTCAAGCAATCAAATCGAGAATTCCAAGATTCATAATCTGCTACAGTCTCTTTTTGGACCTTTCTTTTCAAGGTTTGTTCATACAAAACAACAAATTGCTTCAAAGTGGTTTTGAGATTAACAAATCCTTTAAAAAAAGCATTCATATCTTCACTCCTTTGTGTGGTCGAAATACCCGCCTAGAATGAACTTTTCACCACTTTTCACATATGCAGGAACCCAACGTTTTCTATCAGCATATAATCTCTGCAACCATTCATTATCATGAAGATTATAGCCAGCAATCATCACTGACCACCCACTATCAAACTCATCTTCAGTAAGGGCATCATAAACAACTGTTTGCATGAAATTCTTGAAATCCTCATAGTTGGAATGTCCACTCAATTTTACTGGAATTCTTTTCATTATATGCCATAAACACAATCTATGTCAACTACTATCACCAAAAACAATTTCAATAGCGTTTTTCATCGAGTTGCATTGATCAGTGGTAATACCCTTAGGACGACATCCAGACATGCACTTTAGCCACGACTCAAATAACCAAAAATGATTCTGTGTCTTCATAAGTTAGCAACCCACAACCGAACAATACAGATTGTCCATGATGATTCACACCGACGAATGGAGCAAAAGGCATTTTATACTTATTAGTTAAGTAAGTCGTGTCAAACGTGATCACGTCTCCAAAAGCTTCATAAGCAGCCCTACTTCACCCGTCTGCCCAGAACAAAATTCTAATATGAGATTCCTCATCGATGTCCATGACAGAAAAAAAAAAATTATCGACTTCTTGCATTTGAGCAAAGTACTTGCAAACTGTTTCAGCATCTCCAACACTAAGCTTGCTTCTTCTTGCTTTCTCGATATGGTTGCGACAATCTTTCTCATTGAAGGTAACATTCTTGTATCCGTTAGCTTCAACAACAAGAAAATGATAGTTCATACTCACACGAATCCCAACTTCATCATTTATCTTGAGTCGTCTTTTCACACGATCATCTATCATTCTATTGCCTCGAAAATGACGTGCTTTTTCGGGGCTTCACAAATGGTCATGATCAAGATGAACTGTTGTCACTCGAATATTCCCATCATCACATAATATTAATCTTATATTGGCATTACAACCCGTTTTTGTTGAAAGTTAGAGGCAAATGAGTTCTTCCCCATAGATTTTTTCTTCTGATCATTTTTCACACATGCAAAAGTGAAGTATCTAACAACACCATCATCTCCTCGTTTTGAGCTTCTTTTCATCACACTAAACCCCTTCTGGATCCCAAACTAGGGTAATATGAGTATGCTTCTTCTTGGAATTTAAAAACCATCCCCAATGTGAGTTCTTCAATAATCTCATTTTCATTCATTCTCTGTAAAAGTAAAGGATCATTGTTAAAATATGAATGATTATTATGTAAATAAAATAAAATCATTTAAATATTTTCAACATACATTTTTAAACACAAAAATATTAATTTTAAAAGGCAAGTTAGTAGACATAATGATAATTAAAAAATATTAATTTTAAAAGGCTAAGTTAGTAGACATAATGACAATTAACATATATTTCGAAACAATACTATATTCAAACTAATATGTAAAAAATGTTGGAAAAAATCTAATATGATAAGATAAAGTGATGTATGTCAACAACAATAGCTAGCACTGTCAAACGGGTCGGTCCGGTCCGGCCCGCTCCGGCCCATGCTGGCCCGCGGTTCAAACGGGGCGGGCCAAAATGACCCGCATTTGTACGGGCTGGGAAATCCATGGCCCGTAGCCCACCCGCATTAGCCCGCGGGCTAAATCGGCCCGCCCGCGGTTTTTTTTTTACTTACTTTTTTTTTTATTGTTATTATTATTTTTTTGCAATTTATAATGCAATTTTGGTTTTTAAATTTGAAAAAAAAAAACAGTGGGAATTGAATAAGAATTACTTGTACGACGTTTTGATCTCGATGGTGACCATATATTGTGATTGAATTGTGGTAAAATACAAAATGAAATAAAAAACTTTCATCCTATAATAATTGACTATTTTTAATAATTTTTGTTGCTATTATGCTATATTAAGGAAAGTGATTCGATTGGGACATTTAAAAGTGGACGACCAATGTTTTGTCAGCTCCATCAAATCTCCACCTTGCTCAAATTCTTCACGTCCTTACATTTTTATTTCATATTTATATTATACAATTAAATTCAAGACAAAAAAAGAATACAAA